GGATGAATAGCTTCTGTGGAAGTAGTTTTCCCCAACCAAGTAGACGGACCTCCTATTACAGCATTGTGAGCATCTTCCAACAAATCTAGTAATCCATAATGATTGTCATCCACATTAAAGACTTGATAGTAATTACCAATACAATGTATTGTTAAGGTGAAAAACATTCCTGGAATAATAACAATTGATTAATTGAGTTTAAACTTTAAGAAGATTGAACAACAATGTCTAGCATAAAAAAGATAACTTAGTTATATACAACAATGTAAATAATGATCCAAAGCATCCACAAATATCTGACATTGTCACTGCTTTAGGGTTCATGGACTTAATCCTATTTGAAAAATTTAAGCTTTTCTTGATTTTTTTTTTAAAAAAAACATAAAATCATGATAATATGAGGAAACAAGAAAAAGAAACATGGGAGAACAATTAAATAAAGCATATTAATGGTGAGTCAAAAAGCATAACTTAGCGTGCTTTGGAAGATCGCGAGTTGCGACGAAAACGTTTGGTTCTTTAGGAGGCAATTAACAAGAGTTGAAAATTATACTAAATAACAAGGTATATAATTAATTAAAGCATCCTATTAAATAAATAAAGTGAAATTACGATTTGCCCCTTTGGAAAGTGGCCAAATATTTTAAAGTTGCCGGTCAATGGCCGGATATTGATGTAAGGGGGAAGATGCCTAATGTTCAAAGTTAGGGAGGGAGGTTGATTTTTAAGGTAAACTTCGGGAGGAAAAATGATTTTCACCCCCACAAAAAAAACAGTAATAATATAAATTTCCTATAGTCATGAAAAATGACTAAAAATAAACCATAGCTACTCAGCATCCTGATTATATGCAAAGTAAAGTTATTTCATATTAGAAGAAAAATCTATTAGATAACCGAGTTAGCTAATCTTTATGTGCAAAATTTCACCTTCAATGATGTTAGAACTTAGGTCTTAGAATCCATATGTAAATCTCTTGAAATTATAGGCAGGATCATAATCTCCTGAATAAGTTGAACATATTCTTCTTAGATAAGAAAATAATTTTGTCATTTAAAAAGGAAAAGAATGTACTATAAGATCAAACCAATACAGTCATCTCAAGATGTCTAAAAAGTAGCAAATATAGAGTGAGTTCAAACATCTAAAGAAAAAAAAGCTCCAAAGCAGCTAAAACAAACCGTATATAGAAGACCTAAAAGAAAAAATTATTGCACGAATATCTTAAATATATATTTACATAATCACATTCTCGATCAATGCGAATACATCTTGATCCAGTAACTATCATATTAGCAATACTTTTAGTAGTAGATCCGCATACCTCACTATTAAGTGGAAATAGGTCTAAAATCTTAATGACCATTACGGTTGCTTGTGGCCAAGACAAGTAATTTTTGTACAAGAAGATAGCAGTTTGTTCCTTTAGCATCTGTCATGGCAAAAGCTGGTGAACAAAAGAAAATAAAACTTACTATATATTCTTTCTTTCAAGCTTGACAATTAGTTCAATTGATAGTGACTAAAATATTAAAACTAATATAAGTGCGGGGTAGACAATGAAAGAATGCAGAAGAGACATATCAAAATGGTTAACACAAATTTTCAAGTTGGTGAATGTTTCGACTCCCGCAACCTATGCCAAAATTTTAATGGAATTTAAGTATCACCAAATTTGAGTTGGTCCTAATATGATGTATCTACTTTATTGTTGTCAAAGAGGCAATTTACTATTTTGTATTCTGTTTTAATTGAAACTATTCACTTGTATAGGAACTCTTATAGGAATAAGATTGAGTTTAACGGGTAAAATGGTCGTTTAGTTTTTGATGGGTATTTTAGTAATTTAATTTTTAACTTTGAGCTTCACACTTATAATATAGTATATATATATATATATATATATATATATATATATATATATATATAGATAGATAGATAGATAGATAGATAGATAGATAGATAGATATATATGATGATGATTTTTTCGTTTTGCTTTATTTAATCCTTTTACTTCAATGTTAACATAAATCTAAAACGTTTTTTTAAAATTACAAGTAAGTTGTTTGCAATTTCAGCAAATCAAATTTTACTTGTTAACTTTAGAATCCAAGCCATTTACACCGACTTTAATTACTTCCTCCATTCATTTTTTCTTGTCTATTATATTAAAAATAAATTTTTATTTTTGTCTATTTTAACAAATCAAGAGATAATTTTTTTTTTCTATTTTACCCTGGTAAAATATGTATTTTATTAATTATTTCTTAAGAATAATGCAAAATCCATTGTGTGCAAGTAAAGTATTTCATACAGAGTGACCTTGCCCATAAGACATAAATAGATGAGAGAATATTACCTAATAGTTTTTTTCTCTCGGTTAAGATTTGAACTTGATCCATAATTTTCACCTATTTCATTGACGAGCGCAAACCTTTGAGTGCATGCATCCTACTTGTTAACTTTTGATAAATTTGTCTCTATCTTTTGATTCGACAATTTTAAGTAGCCACAACGTGGTCTGACAATTAACTATTACTAACTTCTGAATAAGTCTAGTCAACGCTATTACATATGAAGCTGATTTAAAGCAACTTAGGGGTGGGCATATATCGGGTAATACCGATAACCCGAACTGATAATTATTTATTACACTATCGATATTGGATTATTAGGTTAATGGTTCGATAACGGGTTAAAAATTTCTTTATTGGGTTATCGGTTCGAGCTCGGTTTGACAATTCTGTTATTGGGTAAAATCGATAACCCAATAAGAATTAATTAATTACTAGTTTACCCTTAAGTATATACATACTAGGGTTTCATAATTCATAATTCACTCTTTGATTTCCCTATTCTTTCTCAGTTTTTCCGCCTCACGCCCTCACCAGTCAGCCCTTCAAGACTCAGGTCGGCATCAGTCGCATCACACCCTCACCAGTCAGCCCGTCAAGACTCAGGCGGTCAGTCGCATTTTTCAGCTTCTTTCTTTCACTGTTCAGTCCCATCTTCACTTCATTTTTCAGATCCATTAGATTCTTCAGTCGCATCTTCACTTCACTCTTCAGTCGCATTTCTCAGCCGCATTCTTCTGCTTCATCTAGATTCTTCGTGTAAGTTTTTAGTTGCTTCATCTTCTTCTTTTTCTTAGTTTGTTTGAAAGCATTCTGGCTCTGGATTTTTCTTAGTTTGTTTGAAAGCTGAAGTGAGATTTGTCGTTTGCTTTAATTATTGAGTTGTTACAAAGTTATCTTGTGTCAGTTGTTATAAAAATTGTATGTCATAACTAATAAACTTTTTAATCTATATACATAATTCTGTACTAGAGTAAAAAAGTAAATATCAATGTACAAAGGACCTATACGCTGCTTGATTTCTTTTAAATTTAAACTCACAGTGAGACAAAAAATTTGAACTATTAGTACTATGTTTGGATTTGGACTTGTTAATCTTAAGGTTGCTACTACTTTTGTTATTAATGTATTTGAACTATTACTTTGAATTGTTTGTAGTGTTGAACTATTAGTGTTGAACTTTGTTCTATTGTTGCAGATTTAGTTATATTGTTCTATTGTTAGCAGAATTATTAGTTCTATGTTTAGCAAAACTACTTGTTGAAGTTGTTCAGTCTTCAAAGCAGTCGAAGGGTAGTGACTCAACTTCTCACTTTTTCTTTTGACAATTACAAAAATTGCATCACAAACATGGGCATCGTGGCTGACACTTGTATTTGTTATTCATTTAGATCCCTTGTATTTGCAGAAAGTGTCGAAGTGAAAATATGACTGATATTCTGTTTTTTCATCATTGACTGGTATCGGGATTTTTTTATATTTTTTGGATTGAAGAATGAAAGATAGAAACTTTGGTTAGTGTTTATTTTATTGGATGTTGCAGTAAATTTAAATTCTTGTGAAATAGAACAGTTCTGAAAAGAGTATTAGCAAAACAGTTCTTAAAATCTTATAAAACTGTTGTAGTATTCTCAATTCTCAACTCAAATTAATGAAACAGTAACCAAAAGATTCAACAATATTAATAAGATGGATATGTGATTACAACTCAAATAGGAAAAGATCATAAGTAGTTAACATAAGACATTAGGAATTGCAGAAAATAAGAGCTAACGATAGATAGAAGAAGGAGGTGAGGTGCTAGAAGAAAGAGGTGAGAAATCAGAAGAAAGGAGATGGGAATTAGAGTTCACTCATAACAGAATTGCCAGCCCTTAATGTCATACTGCTGGTGTTTATATAGTTCACCTCCCGTAACAAACTCTGTCCTTTTACTCACGTGATCCCCCACCTTTCCAAACGTAATCCTCAAGTCTAGCTGGTGCAATTATTTTTCTAGAACTCCTACGTGGCAGACCCATGGGTTCATCTCTCGTGGCATCCTTATTGTCATCTCTGTCAGCATTTACTGGATTTGTATTCACAACAAATGTTTTAGCAAAACAGTTTTATACCGAAACTATTTTATACATTGCGAAACTGTTTTAGTTGTTTTATCTTATCGGGTAAACCGATAATGATCGGTAACCGATTAACCGATAACCGATATCTTATCGGTTTGGTTATCGGGTTATGATATTTGTAAATCGATAACCGATAGGCAAAACCGATAATATTCATAACCGAACCGAACCGACCGATGCCCACCCCTAAAGCACCTAACAATCCCAAAAAACCCCAGATGACAGTACTCCCCCGTTCACTTTTACTTGGTATGTATACTAAAAATAGATTTTCATTTTTACTTGTCACTTTACGCATATCAAGTGAAGATAAAAAAAATTTCCTGTTATACCCATAATATTTATTACTCGGTTCAAATCATTTTCTCAAATCCAATAAAATATGCATCAATTAATATGTTATCATAGTAAATTATGCACTTCATTTATTATTTCTTAAAGGGCGTGAAAAGTCAAAACGTGCCAAGTAAAAGTGAACGGAGTACATAAGATTCTCTAGCTTTAAGATAGAAGAAGTTAGATATATTTGAAATGAAAGAAAGTAGATGAGATCTTTTCCATTATGTGATCATTGTTATTACATGCTACATTGTTGGAAGATTAAAAGAGAAACATTTGGTGTAAAGGACATGAAATCTGTAGTGAACAACTGTTAACACACTCAAACTACGCGTGCTTCATTCTTCACCTTGTCAATCAGTGCGAGAGATGAAAATGCAGCAGCAAACAACTGCTGGTACACTCAAATTACACGCGCTTCATTCTTCAGCTTGTCAATCAGCTCATCCACAGAAGAAAGTATGAGACCTGCTTTTCTTTTAGGAGGTTCGGTTACTTCAACTATTTCAAAGTCGGATTTGATCTCCACGTTCAAGTCCTGTGGTGTGAATTTCTTTATTGGCTTCGACTTTGCTTTCATTATGTTCGGGAGTGTTGCATATCTTGGCTGGTTCAGCCTCAAATCAGTGCTGTATCCACAACAGAGAAGTCAGAAGTACACAGGTCTAATATCCAACTACTATGTAACATAAGCACCTTGAGCAGAGAAGATAAATAAAGTAGATAGACAAGTTTGCAGCTGAAGGGGAGCCTTGGAGCAACAGTAAAGTTGTCTCCGCGTGAACTATAGGTCACGGGTTCGAGCCGTGGAATCAGCCACCGATGCTTGCATTAGGGTAGGTTGTCTACATCGCACCCCCTTGGGGTGCGGCCTTTCTCCGGATCCTGCGTAAACACGGGATGCTTCGTGCACCGGGCTGCCCTTTTTCTTTTTAGATAAGTTTGTAGCGGACTGTAGCTTCTAGCATCTGTCAAAGACTCAAAGGTTGTGATTTAGATTAATCGACCAAGTGGTACAATATTATCGTTGCCTCAGGATCCAGAGGCGGATCCAGGATTTAAAACTTATGGGTTCCTACGTCGACTTTAAGTAAATTTGCAATAATAAACTGGGTTCACGATGATATATTCTTTTAGATATCTAGTGGACTTCTTAATATATAAAGAGATTCTGAACAAAAGCTACTGAGTTCCTGTGAACCAGTATTTCCTTCTCTGGATCAGCCCTTGCCATGACCCCATACCTACTCAGTAATAATGAAATAATTTTTTTGGAATATCACCACATGACTAATCTTGGACATGGATTTAGAAAGACCAGTATCAAAAGCTCTGCTTCTCAAATATCTTGGAAAACTAAATCGGCTAATTCTATTGATACTCAATATTGAAATGATGTTATCGGTGTCATAAAGACATGGAGCATTTTAAAGAGCTTAGAGCGAGGGCCAAAAGGGTTTAAGGACTATTTCAGAGCTTGCTTATCACATCTAACCAGTGTCCTGCTAAATAACTATGTAAACTATCAGAAAACTGCATTACCTCCCCAATACTGACTAAACAGTTTGTAAATATTTCCAAGCTACAGCTCTGGTGCGTAAAAGTTTGGGAAACTAAAAAGGGGGAAAATAGGGACGTGGATTTCTTTGTTTGACTCACTTAATTATACATTTTGTTTTGATAGAAATTCACTTCATGACTAGCCAGTAAAATACTAATTATCAGAGAAGTAAACCAATCATATAACACAAGAGCTGTGGCTTGTGCATTTGAATTTGAGATTGAATTGGTTAAAATTCTATTTGTTTTAAAAGGCCTTAAAAGACCTACTTATAAATCTTTTGTGCTTATTCAGAAGACACACTTCCAAGTCATCTTCTGCGAGCATACAAGTCTTTGAGATAACTGGTTTGAAACTTACGTGATTACTGCAGGCAAATCCAAAGACAATGTCTCAATACCACCATCAACTTCTCTGTCTACTGTAGCCACCTGTTTCTCTTTGTCGAGCACAACCTAACAGAACCATCATAGTGAGATTGTAGTCCAAAACAAGCCAGCTGGACATGATCGTAAAGAAACTGAAACAGAAAGATGGATTTTGGAAGACTGATGATTGTATGGGATCGGGCAATCCTACGGTAAGATTAAACTAAATAGGTTTGAAGATTACACGTTATGCAAACAGCTAAATGATTAGATAGTCTTATATCTGATTAGATTTATAAATATGAGCTCACGGGTTCAGGAGGTGCTCAAAATTAAGACATAAAGGAACAAACTGAGACTCAGTTTGAAGGTTTTGGATACTTGGACACATTGTCAAGAGGTACTCAAGAAAGGCACGCTGGATAGAGGTGATATAGACCAGATAGAGATTGCAAATCACAATCTTTGATTATCTTTAAATCTTTCAACAACAACAACAACATCATCAACCCAGTAATAATCCCACTAGTGGAGTCTGGGGAGGGTAGAGTGTACACAGACCTTACCCCTACCGGGGGGTGGGAGAGTGGGGGTAGAGAGGCTGTTTCCGGGAGACCTCGGCTCAGAAATATCTTTAAATCTTTCGTTATGCAGAAATGATACAAACCTTAGAGGCAAAAGTTCCCTGTGGCCACTTGAGAAGTCCTGCAACCATTTGACCTGTCTGGTTTTGATCATTATCAATTGCCTACACAAAAATCACAACATTAGACAAACCAACTAGAACCAAAAAGCACAGTTTAACTGAAGTAGAACGAAGAAAATACCAAGGAAACATAGAGAATAGCTGATACCTAGTAACTCCGCTAAAATCAAGAAACCTTATCAATCAAACTCTATTTGATATGCTTGGTCCAGCAGAAAAAAGTAGTATTTCTTAATAAAATCATTTTACAGCATTTGACTCCCCTTATTTGTTGAAAAGTTTTCTAGAAAGAAATATAATTCACAAAAGCGGGGAAATAGACTTACCCGCGAAATGCATTCACCTTTACAAATATCTCTACCTATTACTTCAATATCACTAGCTTCAACCTCACTCTAAAAACAATATGTCAATACTTAATACTAAAGTACAATTATCATATATCACTCGCTTTTATACCCAAGGAAACACTGAAAATGATCCAAAGCATAATTTCCTAAGACAAAATCTTCACATATTTCCACAGGAAAAAGTTTTTTTTTTTTAAATATCAAACACACACCTAAGTCAATTAATCATTCACATAACTGAAATGCATTACAGATTAGTCCAAAACCAGTCATTGGATTTTGAAGTAATCTGACATATAAGAACTTACACACAGGAAGTCAAGTCTATCTTTTTTTTTTTATAACGGTGGTGTCCGCGCTAGCTTGCAGGTACCTCAACTATTGCACAAAGTACCTGCTACCTCCCACCAAATCTATCTTGCTGGCTTAATATCCAAAACCCCTTTCGACACAAATCCAAACACACAAAACTAGAATAAAAAGCTCAAATCTTTACATCAAAACCATACCTGTTTGCCAAGAAGAAGAAGACCAGGCTTTTCAACATCAACAAGAGCTTTAAGAATCTTAGCAATTGTAAGTGGATATATATTCTCAGTTGCTTCAACATGAATTGCCCGGTCTGCTCCCATAGCTAAACCGGTTCTTAAAGTCTCCGTAAATTGAACCGGCCCAATACTAACTGCCACCACTTCAGAAGCCAAACCGGATTGTTTAATCCTTAAAGCTTCTTCTAATGCTATTTCACAAAATGGGTTCATTGACATCTTCACGTTTTTGGTCTCTACTCCACTCTTCAGTTCAACATTAAAATAATTGTCAATTTAAAATTACACCCAAAAATAATGAAAATTCAATCAAATGAAATTTTCAAAGATTGTTACCTTGTCCGGTTTTACTCGGATTTTGACGGCGTAATCAACGACACGTTTGATCGCTACCATGATCTTCATCGTTGGTCGGAAATTGTTTGGAGAAAATGGAGAGTATTTTGAGCTAGACACGGAAGTTGCTATTTGTTTAAAAGTCTATTTATGTCCACGTTAGAGGGAAAAAAAAATGAAATAGTAGTATATTAAGGGCTATTTGCACAAAATAGGATAAGTTTTGGGGGGGAAATTACACGCCAGCATTATGGCTAATAAATCTAATAATAATCGATAGATTTACAGGAGCATGCTTTAAAATTTTTATTTTCCTAAAAAGTATTTTAGCATGATCAAAATATAAACTAATTTAAAAAATAATAATAATATAATAATGCTCCTGTAGAGGAAGAAATTGAAGCCCACTTTGACACTTAATGCAGTGGTCCAATCATTATTAGTTTTCAGGAGGTAGGGCTGGGCATATCCATCTATACTTTATCAAAAACACTACGACCATTAACACAATATCATTCGTCTTTTTTACCTTTTAAAAATAGATTTCACAAGGAGTTAAATTGTAATTTAAATTAACTTCTTAATATTTAGGATTTTTAAATCAACTTCAATAGTACTAAGACCCTTAGCGAAATATCGTTCGTATTTTTTACCCTTTAGAAATAGATTTCATAAGGAGTTAAATTGTAATTTAAATTAACTTCCTAATATATAGGATTTTCAAATCAACCTCACTTAATACGTAGCCGAATATTTAGGACTACGATGTATAATAAATTCCTCAATTTGGATTTTCTCCCTTAGTTAGGCAATATAACAAATTCTTTAAAGCTGCAAATCTCACACGAAGGTAAAAAGCCACAAAAAAAACTAACGCTACGAAACCTTGCCATCATCAACGCAAAGTAATACTACAAAAGTTTACTTGTTTAAATATTATTATTATTATTATCATCATTATTTAAATAACATTGATGATTCTTTTAGGAGCATGCTCCAAAAATTAGACACGAAGCAATTCGGTTGCTCATTCAAAACAATATTGATATGAATTAATCTCACAAGAGATATGTAGCTTTATTTTTCGTGTGCGTGCTCAAAAATTTAGAAAATTATAAAAATATACTTATTTGCCAATTTCTCCAAAACAATGAGCCAATCAGTGGTGGATCTAGCATTTTATGGTAATGGGTGCTCACTATTAATTAGTGCTAGCAAATGGTGGGAGGAGTCGGATTGATATTGACGGATTGAATACGTTTTAGACAACACAGATAAAATTTTCGAACCACTCATACTTAATACGGATAAAACATAAATTGAATGACGAAAGATATGAATAACCATATTTTCTTGAATGGTATCATTATTTTGAGTATTACAAACCACAATATAGGCTGTCAAATTTGGCGGTGGTAAATTAAATATTTTTTTTGTGCCACGATAAACTAAATAAATTGAAGAAAGAAAAAACGACAAATTTAAGAACAAAAGGGAAAGCCATGTAAAAGGGAGACGAAAAAGAAAGTCAAAGAGTGCACTACGTAAGAATCGAACTCAGAATCACGCAGAACGCATAAGTTAGGAAAGACAAAGGAAGAAAACCGGGCAGGTGCTTTAAGAAGGCGCCAGTTGACTCCCCATAGACAGAAGATTCCTATCCACTTAGATTTCATTAACTAGTAGCACCCACATGTCTGTTTGAGTAATGGGCGCTCACCTAAAAATATATTCATTTCATGTGAAATTGTCTATAATTATATGTTCGATACCATGGGCAATGGGTGCTTGAGCACCATAATTCTCTATGTGGATCCGCCTATGGAGCCAAAGCATGCATGATCGTACAATGAATAATCAAATTATATTTTTACTGCATGCAAAATTTTTTTGAAAAAAAAATTGTTAGAAGTTAGAAATAGTATGAACCAAATCACAAAATACATGGCTACATGACTACTTGCGCCAGAATGGTCTCAACTCCAATCGACAAAAAGAATATTTTTTTAGTTTAAAAAAGAAATAAGCTCATTGTGACCGAACTAAAAAATCAAGAAAAAAAATCATTTTTACATGAAAGAAATGTTTTAACTTCTTATAGAGGTTCACATAGAGATCATTATCCTCATTATCTAAGACCGCAAGCTAGCAAATTTTTTGGCTTCAGAACCGAATCGAGACAGTGAAAATAAAAGGATGTAACACAAATACATATTTCTAATAATTTTATATATATATATATATATATATACACACACACACACACGACTAGCTAAGCCTAATATTTGCGGAAATGAAATAAAAACATAAAAGTTAACAACTAACAGTAACAGATAATTTAAATAAGCATTTGAGATGCCGCTCAGCATACACAATAATCAACTCTCGAAAATATACACAACTCTCCCAAAATCCGGAACACCGTAATTCACAAGCTTCTAAGAATTTCTAATTGTTCTATACATCAGTGTCTAAAGAAATAAGGGAAGAATCGATATAAGGGGATAGAGGGGGATTCCGAGGTCTGCGGACGCGGGCAGATGTACTTTGAAGTCTCCTTAACAGCAGCAACCGTGCAACTAAACTCGAGGCTGATAGGAGGTACCTGGATCTGCACGCGAAAAATATGTGCGGAAGAGGCATGAGTACACCACAACGGTACCCAGTAAATTCCAAGCCTAACCTCGGTCGAGTAGTGACGAGGTCAAGTTAGTATATATATATATATATCTATATATATATATATATATATATATATATATATATATATATATATATATATATATATATAATAAGACAGAAGGAAATATCGCAATATAATAACAAGGCTTAAATGTAACAAGAAGGAAATCACAGAAACAATGCAGTACAGTGTACAAATTAACAACAGGGGGGATCTCCCGAGATACCGTCTCGCAGTCCCAAAAGTAAACGTGCAGGGGAATCTCCCGGGATACCGTCCCGTAGTCCCAAAGTAAATATGCAGGGGGATCTCCCGGAATATCGTTCCGTAGTCCCAAAAGTAAATATGCAGGGGGATCTCCCGGAATACCGTTCCGTAGTCCCAAAAGTAAATATGCAGTGGGATCTTTCGGAATACCGTTAAGTAATCCCTAAAGTAAATACACAGCTCAAACAATGGAGATAACAGCTATAACACGAATTCCTACATTCTAGACTAAGTACATGTCAAAGATGAAGCAAGAAACTCCACTAAGCATGTTGCACAGAGTTCAGATAAGCATTTAAGACACGTAGACATACTATTCTAGGATAAACAGGATAATTACACATCCTAGTTGATAAGTAGGGATTTTGATCGCTTATTTGCTCTCTTTTAATTGCGTTTTAGCTCAAAAATACTTAAAGGTATTTTCGAAAACTAACAAAATGTGCTTACTTGCAGGAATATTGGGAAACGAGCCAGAGAAGTCAAAATCAACTCATAAAGGAGTCAAAAGTGAACAAGAGCCAAAACTGTGCAAAGAGGCTAGCAGTGCAGACCGTATAATTCTAGTGCGGCCGCAGAGTGAGATTCAGAGAGGAGGTTTTAGCTAGATCAGATAGTGTGGACCGCACCAAGAATGTGCGGCCGCAGGAGATCAAGTGCGGGCGCAACCATTATTATGCGGTCCGCAAGATTGAAGAATCAGAGAGTTATTCCAAAAGCAAAAGCAGAAGAGTGCCGACCGCAGCACTTTTGTGCGTCCGCATAATCAGAAGTGTGGCCGCATCTACTTTTATGCGGACCGCAGAAGCCTGAAGTTCCAAGCCCAAAATTTCCAAGATTGCGGACCGCACTAGAATTGTGCGGCCGCAGAAGCCCATTTTGCGGTTTGCGTCAGAATTATGCGGCCGCACAACCTTCGTAGGGGCATTTTTGTCACATATTTTCAGCTTAGTATAAATACAATATTTTGTCATTTTTAGGTTAAGTTTTAGTTTGCAGAGGTGCACCTAAACGGTTTTCTTTACTTCTTTGAGTAAATTTGTACTGGATTGACTTATTAACATTAGATTTTCTTTGTTTAATCAATGATTATGCATTCTATCTTAATTTCTTCTTGTATGTCTTTATTTTTTATGAGTAGTGTGAGCACGTGATTTTTGCCCTATATAAATTATTCCCAAAATTCAAAAATGATTTCTTTATTATTTTACAATTTTTGTGAATTTTTGTGTTATTTTCTGATAATTGTTGTATTTTATTGGTGTTTGTTTTAATTCACATGAAAATATAAAAAATACACTTGGCATGTGCATTTAGGATTTAATTTCATATTTTAGGATTAATTGAGTTACTTTATAAAGAAGAAAACAACAAAAATAGTTCTTTTTGCATTTTATACTTGTAATTTTTTTAGTTTGCATTTAATTAGGATTTATGGTATTTGGAAATTGAGTAATATAATTTTAGAAGTTAATTTGGGTTGTTAGTTGTGGATTTGGCATTTAATAAAAATCAGAAAAATATAAATAATGATTGAAAAATAAATGCAAAATGAAAAGGAAAAGAAAGCAATTAATAAAAGAAAAGTGGGTTGTCCTAATGAAGACCCAAGATTGGGCCAATATCAAATTAATTCGAGCCCAATCCCTCAAACCCAGTTCGAATTGACCCCAGCCCAAAGGTTTTGATCCGGTCCAGCCCCATGTACAAAACGACGTCGTTTTGGATTAATGAAGGCCAATTAAATCTAAGCCATCCATTCACTTCAATCCAACGGCTCATAATCGACGTTGATTTTCAATAAAACTGTCTGAAATTAAGAAACCCTAAAGATCAAATCCTTTCTTCCTCGTACCTGTTGTCCCCGCCGGCTCCGCCTTACGCCGCCACCGGAAATCGCCTCACGGCGGCGGCCGGCGTCCAATGACGCCCAAACTAACACTGTAGAATCGCCTTCCTCCCCTCTTCCCAAGCCCCCAAGCCTTTGCCCTCGAATCCCAATCAAACGCCTCAAATAAGTCAAACCCTAGCGCCGCCACCACCGTGCACGGCGGCGCCCGTGTCCAAATCCCACCAAATTAACACCCTAGGGTCACCTCCCCTCCCTCATCTTGATTCCGTCGTCCTTATCCCTCGAATGCCATTCAAATCCCTCGAATTTTGAATCTGAAAAAGTCTAATTCGAGACTCGAGCGTGCGAGGTTTCTGTTCCGCTTTTC